CACAGCACGCATGAGGAGAACCGAGTCCAGAAATCAAGACCATGCACAGACTGATGCCGCCTACGAGACACTAGGAGAGAATGACGCTCTCGTGTAAAGCCTGTGCCCTCGAGGACGGGCTCTGGGCCATGCGAGGGGACACACGACCCTGGGTTCCCACATGGTCCAGAGGAGGCAGCGAGGGGCGTGACGACGGAAGGAGGACACTTGTCAAGGCGGAGACCCGCGAACCCCAAACGGGGCAAGACCCACCACACAAGGGGGGACCACGCGCACGTCTCGCTGAACCGCCGTCGCTGAAGCGCCCCAGACAAAACGTCTTCAAGTCAGGAGACACGCACACCAGCTGGGCCCCGCAACGCCACTTCCTGCGCATCCGATGTCAGGCGTCAGACATCCGCCACCCGAGCCTGGTGACAACACGCGTCTGCAGCCTGGCCTGCTCACCCCTGCTTGTCCCAAGCACACGGACGACGTGAAATGACGCGCACACGTGGTGCCCATCACAGGCTCACCGCAATGGCCAGCGGCCCCTGTGTGTGTCCCTGCGACGAGGGGGCCGGTGAATGCAGACGGTGGCTTGTGCCCGCGGCTGAGTGCTATGCGTGTGCAGGAAGAAGGGGCACAGTCCTGGCGGGGCACCAAGTCCAGGGCATCGCGCCAGGCCCCCCTGCTTCCCGCGGGGGCTCCGGGGACGACGTGAAGGTCTGCTTCTTACCACCGACACCGACTTCTTCACCAGCCAGCGGGCCGAGAGAGCTCAGCTCGTGTCAAGCCCAGCGACTCACACACACGATCACACAGGCTCCTGCCGCAGCCACGGATCGGGCGGCTTGTTCGCCAAGTTCCGGAAGGAAGGGGACGGGGCGTGCGGGGCTTGGGCGGGACGGGACGGACCCCGGCAGAGACGCTGACCGCAGGCGCCCGGCCACTGCCGCGGGGCGAGGAGCCCTGGCGTGCAGCCGGGGAGCTCGGCGAGGGCCAGCGATCGACACAGGCGAGCCTGCGCCGGGAAACTCGGGACGCGTCCCAGAGACCGACTCCGCGCGAAGGGAAGTCTCAGAGGTTTCACGGCGCGGGAAGCGCAAAGCTTCGATGTTGGAAGCAGAGTGGAGTCAGGCGGGACAACGGGCCGAGGCAGAGACGAGGCGCTCACTCTGCACCACACGCCACGTGACACGGGGACGCGCCGTGCTCGAGGGCGCTCGTTAGGGTTTTGCCAGCTAATTAAACACTTCGGCGTTCACAGAGTTTCTAACGTGTTCAGTCCCGGGACACGGACTATTGGTCTCGCGATCGTCTCCGTTTCCCAACACGCTTACGGCGCCCCGTAAGCGAGGTTTCCACGCCTTGACAGACAGGTCTTAACGGTCCCAGTGTCACTTCCGCCGGACGGCACTGCCTGGCTTCGGCTCGCACGGTCGGGGATGTCCGTGGTCCCACGCTACAGGCAGAGCGAGAACCGCCTGGACGGACGAGCCGCGAGCGCCAACACAACGTTCGGCGAGGAAACACCCTCGTGCACAACACCGTGCTGTGTACCTGAGAAAGGTATGAAATTAGACACGTGTGAACTTTCTCACGTACGTACGTCTTTCACAGCACGCGCGTCTAGGCGTAGAGATGTGCCGAACATTGGAACACGAAACAAGCAGCAGGTAAACCAACGCCGTGAACACTGCTCGTGCT